ATTTCTTTTGGTAATTTTTTACAAAACAAATAAAACTTAATATTTTAAGTAATAAAACAAAAAAAAATTAAAAATATTTTCACATAAACCATATTTTTTTCACAAAATTTTTTATATTTTCGTTTCAAAACAATTTAAATGGAATTAAAATTTATTTTTTTATAAAAAGGCAAAATTGAAAATTTACTTGTTATAAATTAAATTAAAATTTTCTAAATTTTCTTAAATGTATACAATTTTTTTTTTTAATGTACTGTACTTCATATAAAACTGATATTTATGAAATATATTTTTTGTCACAAAAAACAATGTTATTAAATATTATCAAACATTTTCTAGACCCTATAAAATACATACTTACATAAACGATCACCTAAACGAAGTGAGGTAATGTAGCCATGACCGTTGTTGTAACGGCTATCTAGTTGTCCTCGAGATCTTTCAACGGTAGGCCCAGAAACGTGCTCTTTCGACGAGATCGCGCCAAAAGGAGCGGGGTATGAGATGTGTAGGATTAGCTGGGCATATAAACAGGCGGCTAGAGTCGTGCGGGGACTCGTTGCATGCTAGACATATTTTTGGTATGTCGAGGCCGATTCTGAATAAGTAGGAGTGTAACCTGCTACATTATCGACAACAAAGCTGCGCCAGGATTACTCTAGATTCTCGCGTCAACTCTAGATTTTCGTCGTCTACAATGACACCATCCAAGTATCCAAGTACGCCATTCACTGAGAGGGAATCAGTGAAGGTGTTTATGCCTATAGTGCTTGTCTGTTGCGTCCGTAGTCTAGTCGATGTACTATTGTCGTCGACGCAGTTAAGGAAGGAGCTCTTGATATTCCTAGAAGGCGGTTCCGCTACAAGCATGGATGGTTTCTACAAAATAAATCCCAACAGGAAGGAGTTCATTATGCTCCTTAACTGGGAGCATAAGAGCCTCCTTTTGTAGAAGTTCGATAGGAGACATCAAGAGTCATGCCGTTTTAGTCCGGAGTGTAGTATTCAAGCATTTATGAAGCTTCCTTGTCTGCGTTACACTACTTCCAGGCAAACTGGTGTATTGTATGTTGAAAACGTTCCCTTGTCTTTCCTCCACAGGCCTCTAGTGTGACACCTAAAATCTTAAGCTTATTGACAGTCGGAATTTTAACGCTATCTAAGGCAATATTGAGGTGAAGTCTGAATCTTAATAATTAATTCTTAAGTCTGTAATCTTTCGTTCAATTTGTCAATATGGTCGCTGTGGGTTTAGTCGAGTATAGTGTTAGGCTACGTGCACCGAGGCAACGAGAAAGTTCGGGCATATAGCCGTTACTTTTGAGGACATGCCATCGACCCCATAGCCTGAAATTGTCCTTAAATAATAATTAATCAAAGAGTGTCGAGAACGCGTTGGTGACAAACTAATTTCAGGACAATCATCACCATCAACTGATGAACAACACATCAATAAAATAGAGTAATTGGTGCTTGAGAATGGACGGTTAACAGTCAGATAGCTTACCGATATCGTTCGAATATCGGAAGAAGCACTGAAAGCCATTTCGAAAGATCATTTGGGCTTAAAAAAGTGAAAGAGTGAAAGCACGGCTATTCCGATTGACTTTGACAACTTTCAGGGATTGGAAAAGACGTTGGCACAAGTGTCGTTCTCATAGATTTTGAAGAATAAAGTAAGAATTTAAAAATTATGCACTAAGTCTTACTATTTTTTGTCCACAAGATTATATGCACAATTAAAACTTTTTTTTTTTTTGTATACTTGACAATTAAAGCCACTTCATTTCATTGTAATTTTTGCATAGTTTTTATTTTTATTATTCACTTAAAAATGTTAATTTTTTAATAATTATATATATATTTTTATGTATATATTTACAAAGTAAACTAATAGTTTTTGCTCACATTTTCGTACAATTTTCAACTTTCAACTTGTGTTTCTTCTTTTTTACGCTTTTGCGCTGCGCTTGCTTTCAATAGTGCAACAAAAGTAAAGCGTTTACATATAATAAATTAGCTTAAGGGAAATTTTAAGTTCTCAGTTTCGTTTCAATATTTTAATTAATTTTATACATACAAACATACTCACAGTTGAGTAATTATTACTAATACTAAGCTTTTACATGTGTTTATTCTTTGTTGTTGTTGTTGTTGTTGGTTGTTTTCATTATTTGTTAGCATTCACGTTTGCGCCCTTTAAATGAAACGTTTTTCTTTTCGTTATAATTTTAAATTGTTTTTCATTTTCTTTTCAATAATTACATATTTGCATACAAAATTAGGTTTCTTGTGGTTTTGTATTGTTGTAAAAGTAGAGAAAATATTTATATATGCTTGTATGTATGTATATTTGTATATATGTATGCAATTACTTTTATTTATTTATTTTTGTTGTAAGCTGTGGCTAAATGTGTATGTATAATATATATTTATATGTGTAAAACTGTGCATGTGTGTGTGTGTGTGTTGACGCTTGTATGTGTGTGTGTGCGATTGTAAATTTGTTGTTGTTGCATTTGTTGTTGGGGTTTGTTGGGTACTGTGCGTTTGCTTGGTGGTGACACGCTCCTGAATTTTCGTGCGTTATGGACTTTTGCTTGTGTTGTTGTTGTAATAGTTTTATAAATTTTATTGCTTTGCAATAGTTTTGCGGGAATTCGTAGGTTTACACTAAGCTAGTATATTACGTTTTGCTTGCTCACATAGCGGTTCACTACTATTTGCTTTTATTTTCTATTTTCGTTCAGTTTTATTTTTGCCGATTCTGCGCTTTTTTTTTTTTTTTTTTTAATGCTACTTACGCAACTAATTAACTACAAGCACTTTACGTACTTTTACTGTTACATCACACCAATTTTCAAATGCTTGCCGTCACTTAAACTAACGGCATTCTTCATTAGTTTACATACACATACAAAACGGCTTAAACACCCATATATTTATAAATATATGGATTACTAGATATCTGTGATTGTAATCAAATATACATATATCTAACGGTGATCATAACTAGTTCTAGTGGTATGGTTTCAAGTGTTCGACGTAGTTCTGTGGTATAAGTCCCGTTTTACCGTTAAGCGTGCCCTGCAGCCAACCCGGTTCATGTGAGTAACGCACTGCAAAACAATCGAGAGCGGAAGAGAGAGAGAGGAGAAAGTTATTTATAAATTAARAAAAATAATGATAATAATAATATCCAAATTCAATATTTACCGTTAGTGATGATCTGATTCGGCTCGAAGGACAGTTCACCCTCGCTTTCGCCCATACACGCGTATAATGTGCGCACGCGCCTGTAAAAAAATGGGAATTTTAAAATTATTACACAAACTTGACAGCAATTAAGACTATATGGAACTACAACAACACTATTATCAAATAAAAGAAAAACAAGCAAAAACTTTACAAATACGAAATAATCCACGGAAGCACCTAATTTTAAGCGGTGCGGTTATATTTCGTAAATATAAAGTATCAAAGGCGGCTACATGCTATAGTGGTCCGATCTGCAGAATTTCTGTGTAAATTTTCTTAAACAAAAACACAGGCAAATTTTCGTGAAACATGACTTCTGTCGGGCAGTTTCTTCGGCAGGTATAGCTATAGAGATTAGAATTGCACAACTTTTTCGGAGATATTAACTTTGCCTTAGATAACTATGCGCGATAGTTGTCCGATATTGGCGATTCTGCCAAATGAGCAGCTTCTTGTGAAGAGAAAAAGAGTGTGCAAAATGTTCGATATCTCTAAAACTGAGAGACCAGTTGGCGTTATGCAGACAGACGGAGAGTCACGACTAAGTCGACTCTGGCCGTCCTGTTGACAACTTATATCTGTAGGGTTTCCTTTTGTGTATTACAAACCTCGTCATTTGGACCCAGCATTGGCAAGGTTTCAGGTATTCTGTTTCGAGCGGCTGTTCGCTCACTTGCTTTAACTGAAGACGATGTTTAAATTGTGATTGTTAAGCCTTTTGGGTTCACATTCGACTCAGAACGGTCATCAATTTGTTGTTGCCTACTTAGGTTAGGTCACCGATTCGTTGTGGCACCTAACGCCTACAAAATTTCTCAAAAACCCTAACAAATCGACAAAGCGCTTTGAGTCTATCACAACTCTTCGTTCTTTTTCAGCTATTGTAGAGGATTAGAACGAGTTATGGGGTCTTTACGGGTTTCAAACAAAAAAAACGATTTATTGTATTATTGAATTCTACAATACCGCTAGAATATTGTCCTAAATTTTCTAGTTGATCCGAGTAATAGTTTCGGTGAGTCTACCTAGGCTAAGTGCGCAGTCTTTAAACACGTTTTTTCGAAACTGTGTTTTTGAAGTCGGTTGGCAAGATTTCTAGAGTACCACTTAACCGATCTTTATAAAACTTTACACAGATACAATTCTTAAAGACTTGGACGAAGGATTTTTTTTTTCGATTACATCTATTTAAAAAAAAAACTGTTGCGATATTTTCACTGAAATTTTCATTTTTTGTAAAAATGTCTGCAAATATCCAATTTTAGTTTTGTTTTCTTTAGTCCAAGTTTCAAGTTAAGGTTTTAAATAAAACACGACGATCCTGTAAGGAATTATCCACCCAATGCGGGCGCATTTTTTTTCCGACGGGTCACCGAAAATGGCGTCGCCTTGGCCAAGTTTCCAAAAATTTCGGAATTTCTTTGTTAATAACCCCTTATAGCCATGTTAAACAAGTATTTTCCCTATAACAAGCCCGCGAAGGACAATAATAACCTAAGTTTATGGCTTCACCAACCACACTTATACAACAACCGTTGCGTTGTTTTGGGATGCATCATATTACTAAGGCTTCAATAGCCCAATGTGGACTACAACAAATACTGGTTTATGATTCCCATGATGATTATTGAATTTTAAAGGTTTCGAGGTTAAGTTGGTAAAGGAGGTTCTCACCTCTGAGTATACCTTATATTATATACCCATTTGTAAAATGACTAAAATATAAGGATACTACTTCGTAGTCCTATTTTAAACGGTAACCAGTATATTTAATGTTAGACTGAAAATTGGTTTCCAAAATGTATTTGAGGTTAGGTAGAAATAAAATTACAGACTCAAAGTAATTTAATGCGTATTTTTTTGGGTTGTTATTATTTTTTGTGAGGTTAGGCGAGTATGGCATATATGCTTTGAAATGCAGTGATGCATAAATTGTTCGTGGTTTTCTAATTTAGAACTATACACACGAAATGGAAAATCTAAAACATCCGCCAGCAGTAAATTTTAATCAAAACATACGTATACAGTTCCTGGTTTGATAATACTTTAATCGTACTGAAAACCAAGCACTTCACTATACCAAGAATAAATTTGAGCTGTACTTACGCTGTGCCCATATTCAACTCTCGATGTATTTCCTTGTTGCGGTGCGCCTTGACCGGCACATACTCGACATCTTTCGGCGAACTGCCGCCACCGCCAATTATAGATGGTGCCGCCGTTGCCGTTACCACATCGTCGCAGGTGGAGCCCAATAGCGTCGACAGCGAGGACGCTTGCGAAGCATGTGGCGCGTAGTCCAATGAACCGCCCAACAAGCGGCTGCCATTATTGCTACCACCGCCGATGCCATTGGCCGACGATAAAGAATCACAGACACTCTCATTGGAACTAGATGTGGAGGCAGCCGCTGCCACCGGCGAGTAGTGTTTTGCCTGCGCGTACGACATGCGGGAGTGTTGCGACTGTCCAACAACACCACCACCACCACCTCCGCCTCCGCCGCCGCCGCCTCCCGTCAGCGCCGTCGAGCCGTATAACGCCTCAGTGCGCATTGATATCGTCGGTGGGGAAACGTTGTTCATGTTCAAACGTGTCGTACTGCCCGCCGAGGCCGTGGAATAAATACCGCCCCCGCCACTAATCACACCGGTAGACGCCGGCGTAGCGGTGGCCATTAGATAATCTTGACGCAGTTGTGTGGCATTCGCGGGCGTGGCATGGTGTGCCGTTAAGCCGGAACCATTTGTACCGCCACCCAATATGCCGTAGACGGCATCAGCGGCGCTGCTATTCACAGCGCTACCACCGCCACCGCCACGCAAACTACGCACGCTGATGTCACTCTGCGACATGGAATGTATATTCTTCACGCTACCCATATTGACGCTCATGCCAAGGCTCTTCGGGCCGCTGCCGTTGGTGGTATGTCCGCTAACAACGCCGCCGTTTGTGCGGTTCGTCGGGTTAATGCCGCCAACACTACCACCTCCTCCACCGCCGCCACCGCCGCCACTACCATGCGAATAGATTAGGCCGTTTGGAATGTTTTGTAAACTCGATGACATCGGTGGATCCGTAAAGTTGGACTTGGTCACCAGCCGGTATACTTGTTGTTGCGGCGAATACATGGATGTGCGTGCACCGTTGCCTACACTGCCAACGCCACCCGCTGATGGCGACTTGCCGGCTTGACTGGCGCGTGGTACACGCGTCGGCGGACTAGTGGGATTGGGTGCGCTTAGCAGTGGCGCGCTAGGGTCACTCTTAAAGATACGATCATAATTCTCAATTAAAATATTTATAACAATGTTGTTGAACTTGATGTCCAATATGGCAGCAACAGTCTCCTCCTGGGGCCGCAACAGTGTCGGACCGAATACAACGCCCAGATTGAAGACCGACATTTTATTCTTTTCGAATTTGCGTGACACTCTGTTTGTAGAATAAAAAGAATATACATATAAGTGAGAGTCAAAGCATGACGGAAGCGGAACTTACTCTGTTAAATGTCTAATAACCAGATCCAGCATTTCGAAGTTGACCGGCGGCAGCTTGTGTACTAATTTATGCACCTCGTGCACGCGCTGATTCAAGCTCTCTTGTTCTGTATTAAAGAGTATAGATATTAAGATACCCCGTTTGAATCCATGTCTCTAAGTATACTCACTTGCCGCCTCGATGAAGCCGCTGTGATAACGATAGGTCATCAGCGGCTCATTTAAATTGCGCAGATACGTCTTCAATGCACTCGCTATGGTGTTGCTCTCCATGAGATCACGATACTGTTCATCGTTAAAAACGCTATCCGCCTTCTTGTGATCCATACCCATTGATAGGAGTTTGGAAATCTTCGTACCGACACCGCTCTTGCGGTAAATACCCTCATCCTCGAGGCCACGCTTCTCCAGCACATCGATGCAACGGCGCACGAAAGCGAAGCCCATGTCATCCAACTGATATTCCTCGCCAGCCTTCACTTTGCCTGGAGCAAAGTAGGTCTGCAACGTAAAAAATTTGGTAGAGTTCAGTGCGGTAAGCGTAAGAATTGGATAAAATATTGTTGAGTCGTGTTACAGTAGTGTAAATGTAAGAGAGTAGAGTATTTTGGAATATAGAAAGAATGGCATAAAATAATTAGAGCAAATGAATAAGTAATGTGGATTATTGTTTGTCACTCACCGATTCGGTGCCGTCCATTGCTTTCACCCACGCCTGCCGATCGTCCTCGCTGAGCGCTTGAAATGTGTAAACAATACCCGGTTTCTCTTTGAATGTTAAATCGAAGCAGAAACGTTTCTCAAATTCCGAATTGCGCGGATGACACGAGTATAATGTTAGTTTCTCCTCTTCACGTCCCTCAGGCCGTGTGGAACTGTGATTCATCTGATTGAATTGCAGCATTGTGAATTCCTTCTTTTGTTTCTTGTATGTACAATAGTATTTCGTCCATGTTGCTTTGAAGGGTTCTAGAAGAGAGATTTTCAAAATCGAGCCTATTTTAAGTATTAATCAGGGGGGTCACACACAACGGCAAAAAATGGGAAATTAAAGCAAAATAAAATTCAACAATTACAAAATATAATACAAATTAAAATAAAATTATTATAATTTTATAAAAATAATTCTATAAAAATAATTCTATAAAAATAATTCTATAAAAATAAGAATAAGATTTTTGGACATTTTAAAATGGTGGCTTATATGATGAAGGAACTGACTCCCTGTTTAACCGAGAAAAAAAAAAATTACTTGGTGCTAAAGAAACTCTTACAGTATACCAAAGATATTGACTATTGAATTTAGAAATATCGTGGGAACATTGATTGTCTGTCTATTTGCTATCTCTTTAGTCATTATATCTAGTAAAGTGATTTTTTCAGAAGACATTCTGAAGAATTAAAGAGTGATTCATTTCGAGGTTTCCGACTTCTTTAAAGAAAAAACATAGAAATTTCAAATTTATTGTGGAATGTTTATTGTAATTCGAAAACACATTCTTTGGGATTAATTTTTTGAAGACGATCTTTTTTCAAATTTTAGTCGCGGCTAGGTCTCTGTTAAGTTCAATTTTCGATGAAAATGAAATGCTCGAATTTCGATTGGTAACTGGCGAATGATGAATGATGTTCGGTTCTAAGACCTAAATCGAAACAGGATTGTCCGCATAGATTTTAGACTTGACATTTACCAGAGGAAAAAGCCTAACGGCGTGGTATCAGACAATCTTGGTGTCCAATTGACCAGCCCAAAATGCGAAATTATCTGCTCACCGAAGTGTTCTCTCAATAAATCCATTGATCCGGTTATCATAGAGCAATAACGAACTGTTATTATTGTTCTTCTGTCGAAATATTGGCCGCCATTGACGGTTGCGTTCTCATCATCATCATTTTGAAGAAATATGATTCCATGCTTCCACCGCACCACAAACCACACAACCGTTCTTTTTTCTGGTTGAAAAAGCAGCTCTGAAATCTCTCCACGTTGCTCTTCGTCTCAAATGTGGTAATTTTGCTTATTTACATACCCATTAAGCCAGAAATGGTCATCGCTGACGTCGGATCTTCTTGGAACTATTCAAAAGCACATAGAGCGAATCGATGTCGCTTGGGAAGGTCGAGCGATTGTAGCTCTTGCACAAGCTGTATTTTGTACGCTTTCAATTTAAGATCTTGTCGTAAAATGCGCGAAGTTGTTCCATACCTTAATCTGAGTTGCGGCGAATGACGCCGAATCGACTCCCCACGGTCATCGCGTACACTCTCAGCTGCTCCATATTTTTACTGCGTGCTGTACGTGATCTATTCGGTCTAATATTATCCAATAATGCAACCTAGGTCTCAAGATGGGTAATGGTGTTTCGTATAGTACGCTCAGTAGTCCGATTATGTTGACCATAAGTTGAGCGAATGTGAATTTTCATAACAAAATTAAACAATTTGTAAACGTTGTAAAGGTGTAAATCTTCTCATGATGAAATGTCACTGAATACTGAACAAAAATAACATGACACAACACAACACAACTCAAGTGTCAAAAAAAAAAAAAGACTTTTGAAAAGGTACCTTTATTTGCAGCACTCGTTATATATTTAATTACACATAACGAGTAAAACGAAGTGAAACGGAAACTATAAAATACGACTATTTAATAAAAGACATAGAACACTGAAACTTACTTTTTTCCATCAAAAATAAATAGCCACGTTTTGTGAATTTCTCCTCCGGTTTCTGTAAAAAAAAAGAGGTTATATAATTTAGTATAGAAATTGATAGTTTTATGATGAGAAAAGAAAATTACATAATAATCAGTAAGCGTTGTTAAAAAGCTTCTTCTAAATTTAGAAAAGTAGAGAGATCTGACTCGTATTCTTATATTTTATGCTTAAAATCAGAAAGTTTTACTGTCCCAGCCATTTTGATTTCTTAAGGAATGGGATAGAAAGAAACTTGGCATTTTCTTATACCAAAATAATCCATAATATTTAAAGCTCGAGGAAAAATTGGAATTTTTTTGGGTCATTCTTTTTGTGGTAATCACAAACGGTTATCGAAAGTGATAGTTCCTGACAGGAAAAATAGAAGAAGTCAGTCAGCTGCAGCTTTTGAAGGTTTGTTCGCTTATACAACAGACTTTTTAGAATGAAAATTCTCGTATTGTCATATGTAGGTCCTTTTTAACCTTGAATGTAGACTATGGCAAGCGATTAAGTGCTTTAAAGAACGTTCCAAAGCATAAAAAAATGTTAAGGTTAGGTTAAAGGTATATTAGTGGAATAATAATAGAAGTGAAAATTAAGTATGCAAACGATATTGCAGGGTCTTCACTCTACAACAAAAACAGCTACAAGATTGGCGGTGTTAGATATATTTTCCACAAGAAACTTCGGCCAAAGCTCGCTAAGCAGGGTTTTGTTGGATAAAATATAACACATAACCTCACCTTTTATTTGAAAAAGAAGGTTTCAAGTGGATGGCGCAGGAGCCGGTAGCGCCACCAGCGGGTGTACCATTTACACAGATGAATCAAAAGAGGCTGATGGAGTTGGCAATGGAATCAATTGCGCGGAGTTAGATCTCAGGCGACTGCGCAAGATTCCGAAATTCTGCGGTATCTTTTAAGCGGAAGTATTTGCATACAAAAAATAATAAATAAAATAGCGTCGACAGCTAAGCGGCAATAAACTCGCAACGGCTTACGTCAGTGATTGCCTTAAGAAGCTGGGAGGCATGAAGTGGCTGGCAAACTGGCTATATATATACCGGATTCCAGAACACAAAGACATTTCGGGTAGGAAATAGCTGAGGTGTTTGCGAAAGGTGCCCACATTCTGGCTACCGAACCATTACAGAAAATATAAAAGTGACTAAAATGATTATAAAGTAATTTCCGAAAGTGCTGACAGCCGGATCAGAGTGACATGGTTTGCCACAAGGATATGCAGTAGGCGCCGAAAGAAAGTATGCATGACTTTTACGCCCACAGTCTTGAAAAGGCTGCAGGTCGGTTGTTGGCCTAGTCAAAGGTCACAACTTACTGGCATCACATGCGTACCGGATGAGCATAAGTAACGACGATACATGCAGAAAGTGCCAGGAAGTGACTAGATAAAGCAACAAAATTATATATCAAGTCTATCTTAAACTATCGTAAAAAGCGTTGCCGTCCTGTATGACGAATACTTCAGCTTGAATTAAAATGAAACTCCAACTGCCATTAAAAGAAACGGGGGTATTTATGGCCCGACAGCCAGCCAATAAAACGTAACCCAACCAAGTCAAGGGTTAGTTCCACCCTTCACACAGCGGACCTCTCGATATCGAAATGGAAAGATATTTATATTTAGTTTACCAATACATCATACGACTGTCTAGTAAACAGTCTTGAAAGACCCTCGTCAAAATCTTGTTATTTTATGTATTTCTAAAAAAAATTTCAGTGAATTTAGATTGAAACTTCTGCAGTCGTAGCATTCGCAAATTATTGCCATCGTTACTACGGAACCCTTGTGGGATTCGGGATTTATTCAAAATATTATTAGTCTAAATTTTTTCCCTAACCCATGACGGATATAGCTTCTAGAAATAACCACAATTACACACCGTTCTCTTTTCCATATATTTTGTCTTCAGTTCAGTGACTTTCTCTCGAGTGCCTTCGAAGTTCTCGCGCGTCTGAAAGCAAAAATAATACAAATTATTTTCAAATTGACATACTAATTTAATCGAGGAACTCACCTTTTGCACTTTATGCCGTAAATCTTGCAGGTAATCACGATTGTCCTCCGCCTGCTCGTGCGCCGTGTGATAGAATACCAACCAGCCGGAGATGAAGCCAAGCAGAATTTCAACGAACTCAAATTTGATGCGCTCCTGCACTTCCTGTATGCGTAGCACGTAACTCAAGGACTCCTGTACATATTCACGTTCGTGCATACCCAGACTGGCATCCGCCTGCAAGAGAGAAAAGAGGGATAATTATAATTTCATGAACATTGAATACTGGAAAAATGTTGTCTCAAATAATACACATTGCTCCAAAAATGATTTTGATATAGATCATAAAACAAATAATTTTTCTATGCGATGATGAAACTGAAGAGAGTTAACAGACAATATTCTACAGTCTACAACTTGCTCTTAATATTTTTCTGTGAGACTCAAGAATGTTTATGAGCTACTTAAGTATTCTTCAAGAGAGAGCTTTGAAAAATATGCCTGAGTTGGTGTCAACCCGTTTCTTACCACCTCTGATAACGTAGTAATCTGGAAAAACAGCTTAAGAATACTTAAAGTGATGTTGAAGCTAGGTAGCATCGAAGTACAAAATAACGGAATATGAAAAGAGCTTAAAAAGAGAGGAGTCACTTTTCATAATGGGAAGAAAATTTAGGCAATTTTAATAAGTGAAAGCTGAAGAAAAGCTTAGTGAAAGTTCTGTGAAAGCTCAATAAAAGTTTTTAGAAAGCTGCGTCAAATTGGAAAAAAAGAGTAACAACGTTTCATAATGTGTAAACAATTAAGAAAATTTTAATAAGTGAAAGCTCAAAAAAAACTTAGTGAAAGCTGCATGAAAGCTCAATAAAAGCTTTTCAAAAATTCTGAAAAATTGGGAAAAAAGCTTAATAAAAGCTCTTCAAAATTTTTGCAAAATTGTAAAAGTGGGTTAGCGAAAGTTCCGTCAAAGCCTAATGAAAGCTCAATAAAAGCTTAGTGAAAGTTCTGTGGAATACCAATGTCATGTATCAAAGCTTTCGAAAATAACAAACAAACAGCTTTCCAAAATTTTTGGTGCAGTGTGTATTTTGAAGTGCGTTAACACTACCTCAGGGTGGGAGGTTATAACAGATCTTTACTCTTTAAAAAGTTTACGGCATAGTTCAAAATGAGCTCAAGGCCATGCTTTTGAGCGCTTTGCTTAATTTTTTCATCTTTTCTAATGTATAATATATATAGATACTTGTTGTGAATATTTCTCAAGTAAGACAGTATACAGTGATTGATATATCTCATTGTAACAGTTTTGTCTTCCCCTACATGTCATCACCAAGAGTGCAATGCAGCCTAACTCTTCACCTTTCTACTGAACCAAACCTAACATTTCTGTGTAGTATATAGAAAATAACAAACGTTGGCGCCTATTCCACAACAGTTATGAGCGATTGAAGCACGCGAACTCCCGCCCTCCTGCCTTTAAGCGCCATTTGCTAGCCTTTTAATAGCCACAAGCACCATTGAATACACACGCCAACTGAAAAATCCTGTCCTACCACACTTTGTGCGATAAAAAAGTTCACGCGCAAACGCAAAAAAGCAAAAGAGAAAAACATGTGAAGGTACAAGGAAAGATAACAAAACACGCGAAGCTATACGAGAGTGTGACAGCCTATTTAATGAATGAATGAACGAGGAAATAAAAATTAAAATAAAATAGAATTATTACAAAATCGAAAAAATTAGAAAAGAACTCGATAAAAAAAAACGTGTTATCCTTGAAAGCTTTTACGAACATATTTATTTGCGGAGACTCTATAAATCCTCAGCTTGAGCTGAGTTGTATATACCGCAAAGAGTGCCTGAGTTTTGGAGATAGCGATCTGAAATGTTGCAAACGTTCTTTACTTTTTAAGAAGCTGAACGACCGGAATCAGGTGCTTGTATGGAAAACTTTTTCATTTGACGAGACATCTCCAGCAAATTTGGGGTGGAGTGTTACTCAAGGCATTGTTACAATCTTCCAAGAAATTGTACGAATCAGACAACTATAGCATATACCTGCTATATAAACTGAACGATCGGAATCAAGTGCTTGTATGGTAAACTTTTTCATTTGACGAGGTATCTCCACAAAACTTGGTATGCATTATTGTCCAAATCTAAACTTTCCGAAAAAATTATTCGGATTGCACTACTAAGCACATAGCTCTCATACAAACCAAATGCTCAAAATCAAGTTTTGGTACGCAAACCCGTTTTTTATTAGTTGTGAAGGGTATTCGATTATCTCTTGTTTTAACTACAATTTTTTCCGCGAATTTGTTGAATCTATTCAATGCCAAGTGTGGATGGTTAGCACGTGGTTCGAACTCTCCTTTACCGTTAAACGATAAGTGTATATTTTTACTGTTCGTCGAGTGTTTCTTTTTTGCAGTTACATGTGGTCATAAACCATTAGCTATAAACCTGTGCATGTAGCCTCGCCTTACACCACATACAAAGCAACAGCGACAGCGGCGCGCCAACTAGGAAGCGCGTAAGCCACTTTGAGCGCCGGAAGAAATGCTCAAGCGACATGTACACACAAGGAGCAGTCGCACAAAACCAAAAACAAAGTCAGTCGGCGTCAGTTCAGCGGGGTAGCGCTTAAAAATTGATCTTTTGACCTTTGGCATTGGCATTGACGCCGTCATTGTTGCCAATCAGTTGTTGCCACACTGCCACTGGCCGTCATGTGTGTGCGGCCGCACCCCAATTATTTCATAGCTGAACTCACAAGCCGGTAGTTAATTTCATTTGCTTCACTCAAGACGAAATTCCGAAAAGTGCAGTGTATAGTTGAGAAGAAGTCTTATGACGATGCAATGACGTGAAATGTTGCAATGCTGCAATAGTCGTTTTGGTTAATAACAATATAATTCACTCTGTGATATCGCTGAGAATGACAGCGACTGTTGCTCAGCAATTCAATTAAAAGCGCAACTAGTGACGTTTGGATACCAGAAACCGCAATTTTTAGTCGAAAGGAATATAAGATACCTGCTGCGCTTTCAAATATTCTAGTAGTAAAATATTTCATTTTGGAGTATCGAAGAGAGGTTCAGTTGTGTGAAAAACTTACTAAAAGTTTATTCATATGCGAAACCTGGCCATCCAGAGAAACCAAAGGAATCGCCGCATGTCCATGACCCCAAGTTAAAATACCCTATATTCGCTGGGATCAGAAGGGGGTGATGAATTGTGAGCTGCTAAAATATCGTGAAACTCTTAATGGGCAACACTACGCACAATTCATCAAATTGCAACGATTGCCTACCGAAAAACGCACGGATTTGTGACCACAAATGAGGCAAAAATTTTCCATTCCCACAACGCTCTGCTGCTAAAATGCTATTTGGAAAACAGCAGATGGGAAGTTTTGCCACACCCGCCTTATAGCTGCTGACTTTCATTTGACTGAAATGCGCTTCACATTAGAAGGGGATATCAAAAATTGGATTCATTCATTCCTGGCCGCCAAACCGACGCAGTTCTTAAGGGAAGGAATAGAAAAATTACCAGAAATTTAGAAAAAATGTTACAGCTTCAGATAACCAGTACTTGAATAATAAAATTTCATACGATCGATGTTTTATATAAAGGTTCCAATAAAGTTATAGTCCTAATATTAAATTTTTCAGCCAAATACTTAACACCTACTATTTTGTGGCCAGGCTTGACTGGTTTCATTTCGACTGATTTTATTCGAGGCAATAGTTTATGTACTGGTCAAGAGAAAATCTGAAAGCAGGAAATGCTATACTATACATATATCTTTAATTTTAATCAGAAGTCAATATTGTCGATTTAAGGAACCAAACATGCAGTATTGGACAAAACTAAAGCAACCCCTACTGTGTCTTTTTATGTGTAAATTTTTGGCAAATATAACAGGACTAGTTGCACAATTATTATAGGTTACAATTATGTACATATATTAATCCATAAAAAATACAACATTAGTTATATATTCTTTCGAGATGCAAAATTTGAAACAAAAATTTTTCCAAAAGTATAAAACTGAGTGGACAAAACTAAGGCACCGCCTAATATTTGTTAGGATAAATAGTTCCATGCTACTGTAAAAGTACGTTATTCGTTGAAGACGTTGGCAATAAACCGTTACAAATATTATTGAGACATTTTGTAAAGAGTTCAGTTGCGATTTAGAGTTGAAGAATCAAAATTGGCAAAAAATACTTACGCAGCCGACTTTACAAATAAAATAATAAGTGATTGGCAAAATAAAATAAAAATAAAAAAAAATAAAAAATTCGTTAAAACAAGAAAAAACGTTAACTTCGGTTGCACCGAACCCAATATACCCTTCTTAGGTGCATTTTTGTTAGTAACTATGTGTTCAGTTTGAATGGAAGCTATATGCTATAGTTAACCGATTTGAACAATTTCTTCGGAGATTACATTATTGCCTCCAAAAATAA